GGCCTCCTGGGGGGAGGGGACAGGTTGGCTTCTCCAGCCCAGAGAGCTATGACTGGGACTAATTGGCTTGCCCTCCTTCCGCTGCTAGAGAAAGTCTTGGCTAATTTGCCGGAATGCTCTAGTTAAATGCCAATTAGGATGTTCTGTCCACTGCTCTCTTCCAATATATTAATAATGTAATTAAGCATTTATTGCCTGCGCAAATTAAAAATTAACTTGAACGGACAGCCTGGAAAACTGAGGAAGTGACCGCTTAAACAACCAATTTGCATCTTGTTTGATTATCAACATCTGAACCATCTAGGGTTTGGCCTTCCAGTGAGGGGTCCAGCCAGCTGCTAACAGCTGCTGGCTTCATCTCCACGCTTGATTCTTTTCCTGTCCATCCTGCCTTGACCCTAGGTGTGGAGGGTATGACCCTTCCTCCTGATGGGCAGCAGGAATTTCTGCTAAGGGGTCACCTTGACTTCTAGTGTCCCTACCCCCTTTCTCTGGGGTGCATGGTATGGATTTCAGTGAAAGGAGATGCTACTGGGGATGGCTGGGAGGGGGCAGTCATTGAAGCCCCTGCCACTCCCACCCCACTATCGATTTGTCCTGCATTCCAGTCTGGAAGATGGGAAGCAGATGGTGCTAGAATGGGGAGGGGAGGTAACCAAGGAGCTAGGAGACCTTCCCTCCAACCAACCCTCTTGAGAGATGGGGACTGGGCCTCGAGAGCTTGCATGGGCTGGGGGGCTGGCAGTATCCTCAAAGTAGAAGATGAAAGGATAAAGCTCCCTGTCTCTTTGTCCCCAGGGAGCTGCTAACACGACAGGTGTAACATGGCTGGGTTTCTTCTCCAAACAGACTGGAACTTAGCAGGAGGGAGCAGGACAGCAGGGAGTGGAGCAAGGGGGCTGGAGAGGGTCTGAGTGGGCAGCTCTGGGGCTGGAAAGGAGGGGCCTCTGAGCTCCGGAGGGCAGGGGACTGTAGCCAGCACTGGGCCTCCCTCTCCACTGTTGGCCCTCAGCCTCTCAGACCTCAGGTCCTCGAGGGTATCTCTGCCTGTGCTTGAGGTCAACCTCCTAGCGCTGCATCCCTCATCTTCTCACTGTGTGGAGGATGGTTCAATGGTGGCTCATGAGCTGTGCGGGTGAGGCCACAGGTGGGATCTTCCTATTTACCCTGCAAGATGGTGACTTCCTTGGGGCCCCTTCGGCCCTATGCAGGGGGCCTCCAGCGGGGGTCCTGCTGGTTCCATCCCAGAACGATGAGATGGGCTACAGGAAGGAGGCGCCATATCCTTCATTGTCCCCACATCTCCAGCCTCACCCTGTCCCTGCCCCCACAGCAGCGAGAAGAGAAGAGTTGAAAGGAGCGACTCAAGGCAACCAGGGCTGTTTTAAACACTTTATTTATAAAAAAGTACATTTTTTTTCCTCAGTACATTTTTCAACTCATCATTTTTTTTATACAAGTAAAAGGGGGTGATGCAAACACCCCCAGGGTCAGAACCAGGAGAATCTGCTGGGATGTCCCCAGGACCAAAGACAAAAGGTTGACGAAAAAACTGAAGCAAAGGTTGTGTATCACACTCAGAGGCGAGGGGTGGCAGCTTCTCCTGGATTTTGTTTCCATTGATACAAAAAAGGAAAACCGTTTTTTACCAGCCAAGAATCCCATTCCTCAGAGCTGGAGTCGGAAGAGCAGCAGCACCGGTGTGGGGTGGCTCCTCTGGCCTTATAATTGGGCAGTGGCTATGGCTACAGGGCCCCAAAGGCCCTTGCTGCCTGAGCCACAGCACAGCGGCCTGCTATCTGGGCACCTGTGGCCAGAGCAAGTCTCCCTGTGGGCAGGGGACCTGGGAGGGACCCACTTGCTCCTCACTAGGAGGAACTTACAGAGGTCCGCAGGGGTCTGTCTGCCCCTCCCCCACCTGGGAGCGGTCCTCTCCTCCCACCTGAGTGGCCCACATGTACCTCACACATAGTTCACGATTCCTCTGCTTGGAGGATGGCAGAAATATTATTGCACCAGTGACTGGGCACATGGGAAAGGTTTGGCAGAGGGCACATGGCTGGGAACAAGGCCCTCGTGAGCCTCTCTTATGACCGAGCATTGGGAAATCACTGTTTCTCTCCCAGGGTTTTCAGCAGGCCCAGACCATTCCTGTCATGTGTGTGTGTGTGTGTGTGTGTGTGTGTGTTTTCTGTGCTTGGGTCTGGGGATGCCCCCTGGGTTGGGTCTTGCATGGCTGTACCAATTGTGTGCTGCTGCTTTTCTGATCCTTCTGATAAAAGGGGACTCTGGTTCTGTCACACATTAGAACAATATCAAAATCTTAAGGAAATAGGGGGACAGGTGACGTGGCGGAGGCAAGGACACGGAGGGCAATAAGAGGCAGGCTGACAAGTGGGGAGACCTTGGCACAGTTAATACCAAGTTTATTTCATTTCCAGCAAAGGCAGAAGCTCAGCTCATGCTGGGGGCATGGAGGAGAAGCAAAGTCCTCATCTCTGCTGGGTCAGACCGCCCCTGTGCTGGCTGGCTGTGTCTGTGGGCCCAGCAGCCATGCCTACCTCCCCACAGTCTCGGGACACAGAAAACTCCATCTCCGCAAGCCCAAGTGCAACTCCTACCTTGTGCCCACTCTCAGCTCCAGGACAGTCTCCACTCCAGGAGCCCTTGACATGGCCCATGCATGCGGCAGAGACCCCACAATTTGTGCTTTGCTTGGGGGAAGGGTGTGGAGGTGTCTTAAGGGGGACTCAGTGCTTTGGCTGGGCCCAGGGCCTCCTAAGTCCATCATATAATGAGGAATAGGGGGTGGCAGTGCAGGATAAGGGAGATAGAGGAGCAGAAGATCTTTCAGTCTTATAGTTTCAAGGGGACAGAGAATGCCTCTATCAGGCACGCCCTTGGGATTTTCTCCTGCCTGGGGGCCAAGGGATCAAGCAGAGGGGTCAGAGGAGCATGAGGTGGGATGGGGCAGTGAAGTAGCATGAAAAAGGTCCTCTACCCTGGGGGCACTAATACTGTTGGGAGAAGCAGCCCAGCTTCTCCTTCCCCTTCTGCCCTGTGGCTAGAAAGACCCCAGAATTTTCTCCTCCATCTCTACCCCATCCAGTACCCCCAATGCTAAGAGGAGAGAGCCTCCCCAGGGCTGGCATGGCTTCAGACTTCTGCTACGTGGCTACTGGGCGGCCTGGGCTGGGGCTAGGGCAGCAGGGTCTGGGCCAGGGTGGGCCCAGGGAAGAGATGGAGCTGGCTGGGGGTTCAATAGCAGCACCAGGGAGGGGGATGCGGCTGGTAGGCTGGGGACTCCCTTGGGAAGCCTATGGCAGGGTAGGTCAGTGCCCGTGGGGCACAGAGTGGTCTGCCTCCCTCCCCACCACACTTGCCATCCCACAAAGCCTCTGACACCCTGGGCTGAGTTCACGGCAGTCCTAATGCATAGGCATGAACCTCTCTGCCTCTCCCATCCCAGGGTGTTTCCCATCTAGAGTGCCGGTGGGGCTAGGGTGGGCAGATGGAGGATCTGAGGCACTTTGAGCTGGGGGAAGTGAGAGAGGGCTGGGAGGGGCCTTCCTGCATTGTACAGTTGGGAAGACTGAATCTTGGGTGGCTGAGGAGCCCAGAGCCCATTCAGGGAGGAAATTTACAACTCAAAGGGACAGCTTCTCCAAGGTCCTCCTAGTCAAGAATGGAGGCTAGGAGAGCTGAATGAGGAATGGAGGGTAGGTGAGCAGGAGCTCGACTCTGGTGCCCCTGGCCACCCCACTCCCCTTGCACTTCCTGAAAGGCCCATAACACTGACATTGGCCTTCGTGGGCGAGGCGCTACCCGAACTCTTCCAAGTCTATCAGACCATGTTCGCTGAGCTTCTACATTTAGACTTCCTTCTCCATTGACACTTCTTCACCTCTAACCTCTGCGGGTGAGTCCCTTCTGGGGCCCTGGCCCTGACTCCCCATCCGAATCAAGAGTTGCTAACACTTGATAGATAAGGGAGAAACTTGAGAAACTTCCATGCTTTAAGAAGCAGTTTAGGGTCAGCCTGAGATCCTAGGGTGGAGGCACCAGGGAGGCCTAGTCTCAGCTGTCTCTGGAAGCTTCTGAAGGCTGCCCCCATCCTCAGCTGGGAAGGGGGAAGAGGTGGAGCAGAGAGGGGCGGCCCTTGGGCAGTGACCAGCCTGAGTAAGGCATGTGACCCCAGGAGGAGCGCGGGGTAGACACAAGTAGTGTGTGCATGTGGGTGTGCATATGTATTGGTAGAGGTTTATGGCAAGTGTGGGCCAGAGTCCACCTGGAGCCCGCTAAGTGGGGAGCAGACTAGGTAAAGAGGAGGGACACACCAGAGCTGGGGTCAACTTAGCTCTCTACAGGCCAATGAGGAAAAAAAATGTAAAACCAACCTGACCAGGAAAACACACTGGCCAAGGCCCCAGGGGGTGGGCCTCAACTTGATTCACTTAACAAGCAAGACAACCCTGGGTGCTTTGGAGAAGCCACACCCCACCCTCTACCTCCTGGGGTGCCATGGCTGTGCTGTCAAGACCAGGGTCCAAATTCCCAGCTGCATCAGCTCATGGTAGGGGGTGCTAGGTTCCCTCTCCTTGGGAAAAGAGGAGCAGCATCTGGGGGTGGGTTGGGGGCTTTTCCCCTTGGAGGCCCTTCAGCCCTCCACCCCCAAAGGAGAGAACACAAACAAATTCCAGTGTTGGGGGGAGGGCTGGCTCCCCAAACCCTGGAGGGATGCCCAGGTACACAAGACGAGAGCAGGGCTCCCTGCACAGAGGGCAGGTAGGTGGGGGTCAGGGCGGGGAAGGGGGTAGCAACACCAAAGCCACAGTTGAACACAACACCAGGGGAGAGGGTGGGGAGGGGTGGGAATAAAAACAAAGCCAGGTCGTCTGCCCTGGGTGCCCTGGGCTCCCTGGCTCCCGGGAGTTGGGGGCTGGCTTTGGGCAGCTGGGTGAGTCTCTGTTCAGCTCCTGGAGGAGTGGGGGTGGGGGGTGGGCAGGGGGCGTGCGGGTGGGGACTGGGGAGAAGGGGGTGCAGACAGAGGCTCTGGAGATGGGGGCTACACATACCACTCCTTCTTGGAAATGAAAGACCCGTCATTCTGAGAAACCATGTTCTCAGCCAAGTCCAGCTGCTCGGGGTCGTACTGGTAACCCAGAGTCCGGTCCCCGTAGCCATCCTGACGGGCTTCAGCCTCATCCACCGTGAAGTAAGGTCGCTTGGCGTCCTCGTCATACTTGGGGTGGGGGCCACCCACCTTGCGCTCGCCCCCTCCACCCCCCTCCTCCTCCTCTTCCTCTTCGTAGCTGCTCCCGCCCAGGGGCCCAGCCTTCTTCTCGTCATCTGAGTCATCGGGGTACTGCAGGTTCTGGGCCATGGGCGGGTGGTGCTGGGGGATGCCCGCCTTGCTGTAGCCGTTGCCGTACACGTGCTTCTTGGTGCTATAGTCGCCCTTGAAAGTGTGCCGGCGCCGGCGCAGGGCGATCACAATCCCGCCGACCACGATGAGCACCAGCAGGACGCTCCCCGCCACGCCTCCAATGATGGCTGTGGGCACTGGCCCAGCGCGTTGCCCATGTTGGGGAGGAGACGGGGTGTAGGGGAATTCTGGGTGAGGAAAAGAGATGGAGGGGGACAGCGTCAGTGTCGGCTCTTGGGGAGACAGCAGGGAGGGAGAGTGGGAGGGAGGCAGGGGAGGCAAAGGCCAGAAAGTGGGCGCAAGTTTCCAGGGCAGCTCCAGCTGCAGAGACCCTTGAGCACCCCTCTTCCAGAGCCCCACACCCGCCAGTTGGTAGTTGGAGAAGACAAAGGCAGAGACAGTCCTATGTCCTTGGCGCTAATTTTATAGCTGGGTGGGTGCCAGTCTGCCCTTGACCCGGTAACAGTCACCGTCATGACACCCCCAGGAGTAGGTGTGCTCTTAGTTCCCAACACAACAGGTGCAGTAACTCGCCCAAGGTCACTGGCCAATGATGCAGTGTTGGTTCTCTTGTATGTAAGGCCCGCGCATAGGGCAAGGCTGCCCCTCTGGCCAACACCCGCTGGTCATGGTGCCTGCACCACGCCTCAGCTTCTCAGACTCAGAGCCCCAACTAGAGTGGGTGCCCCAGGCCTGATTGCCTATTCCCAGGGGACGGATGAGCATGGGTTCCCAGATGCTGGCTCACTGATGCCCCACAAGTGCCTGACAAGCGGGCTTTGGTTCTGGGCTGCGGTCAGGCCCCACGTGCAGGACCTGGGGGCGGCTCTGGGGCGCAGCCAGGTCGGGCTATGCGCATGAGTGCCCAGTGCAGCTGTGCAGTAAGGGAGGCAACAGAGCGCCCGACTAAACAGCGAAGATGAAGGGCACACAAGAAACAGGACGTACACCGACACATGCCCTCGCCACCCCGAGCCCAGAGGCCGTGCCGGTGTGATGGCCGTATGTGTACAGATACATGCACAGAGGAGAAAACGGAAACAAGAAGGCAGGAACGGTGGGAAGAAGAGAAAGGAAGTGGGTGGGCGGGGGGAGAGAAGGCTGGGTGGGTGACTTTCTGTGCCCGTGGGAACTGATCAGAGCTGCGCCTACTTGGCAGCACCATCCCTTCCCTATCCTTCCAGGGCCACGCCAGAGGCCAGAGAGGTCCCAAGGCCAGGCTGAGGGAGGCGGTTCCCAACACCACCACAGGGTGGCACCGGAGACCATGGCTGGGCATGGTCAGGAGGAGTGGGTGGGATGGCCTCAGCTGCTCTCGCTCTCCCCTCCAAAGCCAAAGGTCAGGATGGGTTTGGGCACAAGTTCAGGCCTCAGGGAGTCGGTTCCTGCCATCTTACTCCTGATTCAGCATCACTCACTCCGTGGGAATGATGCTCCTCCTGTGAGCACATCCCTCCTTCCAGAGGTGGGGCTGACCCATGTGTGCGAGCCCGTGGGTGCTGTCTGTAGCAGGAGGAGCAGGGCAGGGATTCTAGAGGAAGAGGAAAGGCCCTCTAAAAGTTCAGGCTGGCAGGGCTGTTGAAACCATGGGGTCAGTGAAGGGGAGGTGATTGGCCCACAGTCACATGGCTGAGCTGAGACCACCCAGATGCTCGGTTCCTGGCTCTCCACAGGCAGGACTGGCAGAGAAGCACAAGCACTGAAGTCTCAGCTTCCCACTTGTCACCACTCTGTCCTCAGTGCGGGTCATGCCTGCACTAAATATTTATTGCATATTTTTCTTCATTGCTTACTTCCAGAACTGTCTGCCTGGAATCTCAAGCTTCTCCTGGTTCACCAGGTCCCATCTGTTCACTGCCTTTATAAGGGCTGCACACCTGATCCCCAGGAGGTGGAAACTGCCTCCACAAGGGGTGCCTGGCAGGAACCCAGTCTCTTCTGTGCATTCAGCCTGCCTGCTCCCTCTTCAGTTCTCATCTGAATGCTCCCTCCTCTCTTCATGCAGTTCATCCATCCATCTGTCCACCCCTTGTCCCCCCATCCATCTACCTGCCCATCTACCCTCCATCCATTGAGGTAGATGGATCTACTTCCCCTCCCCCATCCATCTACCTACCCATCCACCCAATCAGCAAACATGCATTGAGCATCTATCTCGCTAATCATGAGATACAAGAACTCACAGCCTAGCAGGGAAACCAGATGCTCTCAGAGACAAAGCAGCACGCAGACATCAAGGGCACTGGCAGGGAAGTGGCTCAGGAGTGCAGGGGAGGGAGACGCTGTGACCTGCAGTTAGAAAAGCTACTAAGCCAAGCCTTGAAGGATGGCAAAGACTTGGAGCGCTAAGAGGACAAGGCAGGCATCCAGGTGGAGGGACCCGCCTTTCCTTTCTGACACAGTTCCCTTGCCTTCCAATATCAGGGTTTTCCGCTCTGCAGCTTCCTCTTGGAGCTGTGCTGCTGGGCCCTGTCTCTTCTGGATACACGGCCGGGGATTCCATCCTCGGACTTTCAGCCCTTATTCTCACTCCGTTAGCACAGAGGGTTAGCAAAAATCCTGGGGGCCAAACACTTTGGGAAATGTTGGTAGACAAGGCATCCTAGTCCTTCATCTTCTCACATACTCTGTGAACCACCAGAGACAGGGCAGATGCAGTATCCCCAAGCTTACCTCCCTTGCCTCTGAGACCATTCACAGGACTAGCATTTAGGGGTGCACACTTTAAAACTCTTCTCTAGCACACCCACGTCTGGAATTCTCTCACCAGCTCAAAACCCAACGTGGTTCACCTGACCCGGTTCACCAGCTTCCCTCCAAACCCTCATCCAACCCCTCACTCCCAACGCCATTCGCCTACCCCTCCAGCTTCGAATCTCCTTTATTTTTGACTCTGCCCTTCTCTCTTGGGTCAAATCTGCCAGCAGATCTCACCGACTCTTTCTCATTTGGTATCTTATTGCTTTATGCCAGGTTTTATTATGGTAGCTGATTCCCGAATCTCCCCTCTGAATCTATCCCTGGCCCTGGTTCCCTCCACCCAGTCGGCAGGTGAAAGCTCCACCGTGCAGACGGCACGCGCCCTTTCCCAAAGACTGGCGGTGACGTCCCCGCTGCCTGTTGGACCTGGCCTGTCTGCTCTTCCAAGCTTCCACTCTGCGCATCTGTCTTGGGTTTGGCCACCCCCGCCGCCATCCTTGCTGTCCAAGTGGATTCCTGACCCCAAACCTTAGCTCAAGTTCATTCTTCCGGGAACGCTGTTCCACGCCGTTCCTTACTCGCTTCTCCCTGTGTTGGTCCTTCAGTCCCTTCCTTGTGACGCCTTCCTTTCCCCAGCTCACGTGTATCTTTTCTCTTTAGAATTTTTATGTACTAATGTGCGCATGGCTCATTCTGGTGTAAACAATAGCTAATTCCATTCCGTTAATCATATCTTGACGTATAAAGCCTCTGGTCCTCCTGCCAGTTTTCAAGTGGCTGAAGCTCATGTCTGCAGGCGCAAGGAGAGGGGCTGAGGAAGTGGCAGCCTTGTAGTAATTTGGGGTTGATTCAATTCAGCGTGTTACACTTGTGTACAATACAAGTTCCACTATATTTATTTTTATGCTTTCTGCGATAGCAGAGACCCGGAGAGAAATAAAGCTCTCCTACGCTTTACCAACTAGACTGAATTTTGGGGGCCTACTGATGACAGCATGGTGGAGTTTACTCGATGACCTGTTTTCACCAGAGCGGCTGGTGTCCCAAACTAATCTGTAAATCACAATTCAAAGTAAATCTGGAACCTGACACTCCTTGCCATCTCTTTCACTACCTACCACCCCTATCCAAGCCACCATCCTCTCTCTCACCTGGATGATTGCAACAGCCGCCTACCTGGCTTCCCTGACCCCACCCGCTCCCTCTCCAAACTAGTTTCAACACAGCAGCCAGAGAGATCCTGTTAGGTCTGGAGAGCTCAGAATGCTCTACGTGATGTGTCCCCACCCCCTTCTCTGACTTCATCCTCTGCTCCCCCTCGACTCCCTCCTCCCCAGGAGAATGCAGGGCCTTTGCACTGGCTGCTCTGCTTGCTTGAAGGCTCGCTTGGGTGTCCTGTGGTCCCTCTCTCACCTCCTTCATGGGTTGGCCCCAACAGCGCCTTCTTGCTGAGGCCTCCTCGACCACCCATTTTAAAATCACAGCCCACAAACCCCCACCTCCTAGGTACTTGTGACCTCCTTAACCTACTTGGCTTCTCTCCATATCACCCTCCACACCACCACATAATTTTGAAGATGTATTTTATCTGTTGCTTGTTGTCTGTCCTGTGCAGGAATGTTAGCTCCACAGGAACAGGGGCGTTGTGGGGCTCACTGATAAATCTTTAAGCACCTAGCTTGCCTGGCATGTGGCCGAAGTTCAAAGATTTTTGTTGAATGATTTCTGTTTGAGAGCCTCTTGCTCAGATAGAGCAAGCGTTTAAGGGAAACTCAAAAATACAAGCATGCATGGGGTGCACTGTGGACCTCATTTCATTTGATGAGGGTGTGCAGGAGTGGAGCCGTGGGGACAGATGATGCTGGGTCTCCCTCTACACCCCATTGTACACATACCCCCTAAATCCTAAGGATGTTTACTCTTCCCTGGGAATGTTTTGGGATGACAGTGTATCCTGTTTTTTTTTTGGCTGCTTCAGAGGCGGATCTATCTAGAAGCAGAATGGCTAAGATGACCTTCCAGCATTAGTCGATTTCAGAGTGAAGAGGCCAAGTGAAGGTGCAAGAAGGAAGGAGGAGATCCGGGGTCCTAATTCGCTTGCAAGGCGGCTGCTTGGTGTGGAATGGAGCTCACCCCTCCCCCTTCATCCCACCAGCTGTCACATTTAGCCAGTAGCTCCTGTCCTTGTGCCAGGAGTAGAGCCTCAAGGGCCGCAGCTGGGAAGGGAGGAGAAAGCTGGGTGGTGGGGTCATTTGCACTAACTGGAGGGTGTCCAGGCGGCATCCCTCAATCTTCTCGTACATCCTTTGGCAGGGGAGCAGCTTGGACTCCATTCCTGATCCCATTCCTGAAGGCTGCCGCTTCCTCCCTAGAATTTAGGCTGGTCAGGAGTGTGGGTCAGCACCCTGGCTTCCTGTTTGAGGTGGGTTGGCTGGGTGTTTGGATGGATCTAGGGTGGAGGCTTAAGGTTTACAGTCTGGATCTAGAGTCAGGAGGAGGTTTGGTTTGCTTCTAAAACCAGTGCCTGGTGCTTCCTCAGGCTAGTAGGAAATGCTCTGGTATCAGAAGATTAGGCTGGGGAGCTGGGAGAACTGCATCTCCCAGCATGCAGTGCAGCTGGCCACGGGGAGAGTGGAAGGCCTGAGGTCAGACACTGGGAAGCCCTTCTTCTCTGCAGCTGTAGCAGCTGTGTATCACGTCAGACCATCGGGCAGGGCCTCGTCAAGCTGGAGGAGAACTGAATCCTCCCAGGGGCGCGGATGCAGCTGCCTTCTCACAGAATCCTCTCACTCTGCCATTTGCCAGTCGGGAGAAAGGCACGTTTACGTTTGCCCATAGCACAGCCACGGCTCCCATTTGCACACTCAGCACAGACAGTCTCTTGTGTGCTTGCCAGTGCAAGTTTACACGCTCAGAGGCACACACCCATACTCACGCCCAGGCATGCACACCCGCAGGTTCACATGCCCTCTCCCTTCCCCACGGACCTTGAAACCCCACTACTTGTTTTGAAGAACTCCTGGCCTAAAGGGCAGATCCTGTCACCTTCACTGGAAATGGGACCTGGGCAGACATCTGACCCCAGAAGCCTCCCTACCCTGCTCCTGGAAGTAACCTGGACACTCTCCTTCTAACACCCCAACCCAGGGTGGATGCAACCTCATTGGGCCTCTTCAGTCAAGGCCATACCCTGGCCTTGCCCCCAGAGGATATTGCCCCCAAGGGAGGAGAGGGAGCTGGTTTGTTTTGTGGCCAACTCTGTGAAATAGCTCCTCAGCATGAAGATCTCTGAGATAGATTTCTCTGCGGGCCCCAGGCCCAGGCCAGGTACACACACACACACACACACACACACACACACACACACACACTCACACATGCACACACACATTCTGGTGAGTTTCTCTTCGCTGTTCTCTCATCCCCATACCATAGCATGAGCCTACTGTTTCCCACTAAAACCCTCCCTTGTGACCACCTCTACCTGGTCCCCCAAGTGTCATCTGCAAAGCCTCCCAAAGGCTCATCCCGCTTGTGTCTTGTTATCCTGGCTGCACTGCTGAGGGCCCTGCAGAGGTGCCCTTGGCCAATGAGAAATCTCAGGGCCTTCCATCCTTGCCCACTCAGTCCCAGGTATTTTCCTCCCACACACTTCCCCTGCCTGGGAACCCCCACCCTCCACCCGCTCACCCTCCTCGGAACAACCCAAATGCCACCTCTTGCAGGATCTGGGACCTGCGAAGCCCGTGCCAAAGTGCATCTGTGCAGATGGGGCCACGACACCCGCACGTCTTTTGCACATGTAAGCCCTCTCCCGCCCTTGCCCCAGCTGCTCTTCATTTCCCTCTCCAGATGCGCCCAGGGCAAAGCTATTACCTGAACGGATGGCCAGAATGAAAAATTAAATTTCCACTTATCCACCTCACTCATGCATTCCCTTCAGACCACTGGGGCTTGGAGCACAGGGCAGGGTGTGCCCCTCGGCATGGGCCCCCAGAGAACGTGACAGGCACTAACTGATAGGGGATGAGGCTGGTGGGGCTGGCGCTGCTCGGAAACTGCCGGTGAGCACAAGAACAACTCTGTAAAGCCCTGGTGCCTGGCGAGTCCTCCCTGGGGGCTGAGACCCTCCCTCGGGACAGCCAGGGAAACAGCTCCAGACCCATCAGTGATTCAGTGAGTGTCACACTTGCTTGGCTCCTGCCTAACTGGGCTGTCAACAAGAGTGCCCTTATGCAAGGCTCCTCTCACCACCCATGCATATGTCTTTGATTACCAACCCCATCCTACTCTGTACCTCCAGGGAACACAGTTGGGCACACGGTGTGCCCCTTCCAGCTGGGCCCTGCGCAGTTCCAGCTGACAAAGCCATCTAAGCTTGGTGATGAACCCAGGAGGGCACCACTGCAGCCTCACCCCCTAGGGCATCCTCCTTCACTGCATCTTCCTGAGTTTTGGGAGGCGGGAGGCCCTGACTTTCCTCTCCTAGCCCTGTCTCCACTGGGGACTGCTGAGCCCCAGAAGTCTAGCAAGGCCGGTGTACTCCTGCCGGGGAGCGGGATGGATGGAAGGTCACTGTTCCCGTGTTTCTAGCCCCCTCCCCTGACTATGCAATTAGCAATTTCCCTTAGGGCAAGGGTGGCAGAGAGGCAGAGGCAGGTTGGCGGTTCATGGTCAGAGGGAAGGAACCCCCTTCCAGGGAGTACTCGCCGTGTGCAGGCAGCAGAACATTGATTGGTCTGATCATTAGAGGCCGGTTATAAGATTAGCTCGGTATTACAGACTAGGAGGTGAAAGCTCAGAGAGATGAAGGACTTGCTCAAGGCTGCACAGCCACAGGAAGAGCCAGTATGTGAATACATGTGGGCCAAGTCTGTGCTATCCCTCATAAGAGGCGCCTCCCTGTGGGCAGTCATGCTCTCTTATGAGGACCCCCCACTCTGGTCTGCCCCCGCAGCCACAGGGTCAGAGCTCAGTCATCTACAAAGCTCTCAGTGAGTTTGCTCAAACTTTCTCCAGGAGGGGGCCACAGAGTGTGACTCTTGTCTTCCTGATCTTGCCAACCTATGGGAACCCCCAAAGTCTCGGGGCGGGGGGCTGCCTCAGCTTTTCCCAGACTCCACCCCAACACTTCTACTCCCTGAACCAGTCCAAGAGCCAAAGGTAGGGAGGTGAAGAAAACAGCAAGTGACAGACAGGCTGGAGGATAGACAGGTATAGTTCCTGAACAGCTTCCAGCTTCTCTTTCTGCTGATGTACCTCGAATGTACCCACAAATGAGGTCTCCCACTTCTGAGACATAGGCTCAGAGCTGGTGATGCCTCAGGGTCTGCCCAAACTCTGCACCTGAAGCCCAGTAGCCACTGCCTCCAACTTCCTGTATCCTTGAGCCCAGCTCAGCGTCTCATGGAAGATACATCCTGTCCATTTCAGCTGCAGTATGACATCACTTCTGTCCTAGGAGGTACTTTCTATCACTTTCTCACCTTACAACTAGTTTGGGTTCAGTGTTAAACACACCCCCCCCCTTTCTGGTTGTGGAGTTGTGATAGCAATTTACCCCTCTATTGGCTTGTTTTGATCCTTCCATTAATAGTGGTAATGACAGAGGCCATGATAATAATCACAGAGCACGAGCCATTTATTGACAGACTGGTCGGTGCTGGGCACTTGGCCTACATCACATATGATTCTAACAACAGCCCTTCAAAGCATGTCATATTATCCACTTTTATAGATGAGGGCTTGTCCAGAGCTCTGGCTGTGTGACATAGCAGCCCTTATGAAGTTTTCCCCAGAACATCCTAGACCCTGTTCTTCCTTGACCCTAAGAGGTCAGCGGGCTGAACTTCGTCATCTGCATTGACTGAAAGATACTGGAGAAACAGCAACCCAGTTGCAGGGCACACAGACCACCCTGGCTTTGAGTGCTATCTTCACTTTCCCTCCAGATTCCTCCCCACTTGAGGTCACACAACCTTGTCTTTCAGGCCACGTGGGTTTCCTGATGCAGGAGCAGACTTCCAACTGAGCCCCCAACCCCACTAAGCCAGCACCCCATGGTTCTGGTGGCAGATCCACTGATAAGCTATAAGTCCTGCCCCTGCCCTCCAAGCTATGGAAGTAAACAGCACCTACTTCCTCCCTCCTGGAGCTTCCCTCCTGTCCCCCTCTGTTTGGGCATCACCCCGACTGTCTCACACACAGCCTTAAAGAAGAAAGAGAAAAGCAAAGCAAGACCAATGGCCAGTTTAAGGGAGAACCAGAGAAGCAAGAAATGGAGACACAAACTTCCTGTAATGACACAACCAAAGGTGGGGGATGTCTGCAGTGGCGGAAGTTGTGGGTGGGGAGAGGCAAGGCGGGTGTCGCTCCCTACCTGTGATGTTGACCTCCACCTGGCCTGAGCGGGTGCCGATGGGGTTGGTGGCCTCGCAGACGTAGGTCCCTGCCAGGCTATAGTTGATAGGTCCTCTGAAGAACAGGGTTCTGTTCTGGGCCTCCACGCCCTTGGGGAGAGAGCCATTCAGTCTGTGGGATTGGGAGACATGCGGAGGGTTATGGCTCTTCAGCCCCAAGAGCTGCCTCTGTGCCACCCACCTGGCTCCACCAGCAGTTTGCTGAGTTAACAGGCAGGGTTTGTCTTGAAAGGAGTGAAAACAAAAGCAACAACCATAATCTCTTGCCTTTGGCGATTTTATACTATTCAGCACCAAAATGTATATGGGACAGGTAGATACTTATCCTACTTTACAGATGAAGAACTAAAGGTTCTGGGACAAGGCAACACTGCCAGGAAGCAGCGGAACTGGAGTTAGTTCTAGAGGGACCAGAACTCTATCTGCATCTTTGGCCTCTTGGCCCAGTGCTTTCTCCTACTGATGGTTCGTCTCCTGGGTAGCTGGAGAGCAATAAAGATGTCTGGGTTCTAACTCCAGATCTGAAGCTGAACCACAGGGACCACCACCTAGGAGTCTGTATTTAACAGGCTACTTAGGGAATGAGGAATTGTGTTCCATTTCTCCAGTTCATGTCACGGGCCTTTTTCATGTGGGGAGCGTCCTGGAAATTTCCCAAGGACAAGGGGACTTCTTCCTTTCTTCTGATCCCCAGTGCCACAAAGCTGTCATTCTGTTGAACTTGCAGCAAGTCGGTCCTATCATTATTGGCTGAAATTGGCAGGCAGGCCCCACCCTCTTGTACCTTCAGAAGCACTTCTGGTTCCAGGAAGTGGAGACTAGCTGGCCTGGCCAGTGTTCTCGACTTCCTGGAAGAAGAGTGTGTGCATAGATTCTGGTCGTTCACGTCGACCTTCTTGGTCTCCCCCATATCCCCATCTTTCTGGGAAGAACTGTGGCTCAGGCTATCAGAGCTGGCTGGAGGGGAGACGGAACCCTTTGAGGGCCAGGTGAAAGATTGTGAAGCTCAGAATGGGGTGATGGGAAGAGGGGCCAGTGCTTCAGGGACACAGGCTTGCAGGGTGGGCTGGGGCCTCCTCCCTGAGCATTGGAGGGTGGGGGGGAGTTGGAGAGAAGGAATGGGAACAAAGAAAGATCTGGGATGCTCCAGAAAGCCAGCCTCCCTGGGGACACCTCGATAAAAATAAATACTGGGGGCTGGGGTGGGAGTGACTCAGACTGAATCACCAAAAGAAATTGATAAAATTCTTTAATAGGGAGAAGGGAGGCAGGTCATGAGGGAAGCCCCCTCTGGTATAACAGTTTATTGTACTGACCCTGACACTGTCAAACATAGGGGTATATGAAATTGTGGGGATCTCTTGTGGCCCCTCCCCTTCTCCCTGAGAAACCTGAGCCCAGACCCTACGTTCCTCCTTGCCAAAAGCTTCTGGAGGCAGAGCAGGTGGATTTCCCTGTGGTCAGCAAGGTGACCTGTCAGCACTTACGTGGTCCAGTGGTACTCAGTGGCTGGAGGGTTAGCGTCAGCTTTGCAGGTAAGCTTCACATCCATCCGCTGCAGGTACCAATTCCCATCAAACCCCTCGATGGTCACCTCGGGCTCATCTGTGGGGCAAGGGGTGATGTTTGACAAGGGTGAGGCCAGGCAGGTAGGACTTAGGGCAAGGGAGCCTGCGACAGGGAAGGGACAGGAGGTACAGCCACGTGGGCGAGCGCGAAGAAATGGAAGAGTGAAGGGAGGGTGGAGATCACCAGACCTCAGCAGAAGCAACAGCGAAGGAGAGAAAGAATGAGCAAAAGGAGGAGATACAGCAAAGAGGAGGAGAGGACAAAGCACCCCCTTAAAAGAAAGGGAGGAAGTAGGGAGGGGAGTGACAGAGAGAAGAAGCAAAGGCAAGAAGTGGAAGGAACAGGGGTGCCCATGCCTGGAGGCCCCTCCCCCGAACCAGGCACTCTGCCCTGGCTCACACTGCACGTTGAGGGTGAGGCTTTCCCGAAAGCGGTCCATGTGGTAATTGACGATGCAGGCCAGGGACTGCTGATGGGCTTCCCGGCTGGGGACCAGGCGGTAGCGGCTGATGACCGTCACTGTGCCATTGGGGTTCCGGATCTCCTGGTACTCCGCCTCGCCCTTCAGCCGCGTTTCCCAGGATACCACGCTGGGAGGCTTCCCATTGGCTGATGTGCAGGTGGCCACCAGGACCTTGTCATCTTGCCCCTTCTTGGCTCGAAGCACCGCTTGGGTGCCCTCTATCCAGTTGCTGGGCTTGGCTGTGGGGAACCAAAGAGAGCCATGGGACTAGCTCTATTGCCTTGTCCAAGATGCGAGGGCCTAGGCTTCAGGTCACCCTGGCCATCCTGGTCTGTTGGCAGTGCTTCACCTGAGCCCCTCCCAGCACATCTTCACATCCGACCTATGTTCTACCTGCTTTGCTATTTGTATCCCCTTTGGTCTTCCTGCATCTTTGCAATTTGAGGCAAGCAGCTCACATGACAACTTTCCTTACCATGGGGTCTGATCCTTCTGCCTGCCTCCTGGCCTCCCCCCCATAGTGCGTTCCGAATAGTGAGCCTCAGCTCTGCCCACAGCTAAAGTCCCACTCCCAAGCCTTAGTGAACTGTGGGACAGCCTGGCAAGAAGGGCCTGGAAGCGCCCTGCCTGGGAGCACTGGGAGCATGACCACCCACAGAGATGTCTGGGGCCACTGAGGATGGCCAGGCCCCTGGGTCACAACCTCTGCAGCGGCAGGGAAGGGGAAGCAGCTTACCCATCACAGTGAGATTAAGCTGACTCTCGCGATTGCCCGCCGGGAAGGTGGCGAACTCGCAGATGTAGACACCCTCGTCCTCCAGCTCCAGGCGGGAGAGGCGGATGGTGCCATCGATGAAGGAGGGCCGCAGGAACTCCACGCGCTCACGGTAGGGAGCCAGCACCGAGACGCCCATGGCTGGGTTGTAGATGGCCACGTTCTGCTTGGTGCCATTGGTGGCCTTCTGCCACGTGACCTGGGTGATCTTCACGCCGGGCAGGGGGTTGGCGAAGCTGCAGTGTAGCACCACGTCTGCGCCGATGAAACCATACATGGAGTCGTTCACCTGGACTACCTGGGCGTGGGTGCCTGGTCAGGGGAGATGACAGAGGTGGTCAGAGCCAGGCACAGCCCACCTGACTCCCTGTGTACCCGCCTTTTCGTTCCAGCAGTCGTTATTTATTTTATTTTGATTATAAAAATAATAGTCAAAATACCCCATAAAACAGTGAAAAGTACTGGGAAGAAAATGACAACAACCCAAGATCCCACCACTCAGAAATGTCACTGATAATCTTGTAGGAAATAACTGTTTTACTTTTTTCTCTCTGTATCTACGTAACCATCGATTTTTTTTTTTTTTTTTGCTTTTAGAAATCAGAATCATACTGCACTGATTGTCCCATAAATGCCTTTCCAGCTAGTGGTATTTATCAACATGGCCCCATGTGGCAAACAGCGGCACATACCCTTATTATTATTATTTTTTAAAGATTTATTTATTCATGCATACAAGAACTGGGGTACAGGCCAGATATGTGGGAGAATGAGAGGATTCACCAGAGACAGAGTGGGGAACAGAACAGGCAGACTGACTGAAATACACTGCTGAGGGGAGCAGTGGGCGAGACAGGAGAGGTCTGTGTGCCATGTGGGTATCTCCATAGCTGGCTGGGATGGAACCTGCACTGCAGAGGCTGCAGACAGCTTCACAGCACTGCACTCAACTGCCTGCGCCACCAGGGAGGCCCACACACTCTTATTTTTGAAAAGGGCAGATGAGTGTGCTGGTTGCCCCGTAAAGCCCCAGCCTGGGGGGACACTAGCTGCTGTACTTCTAGGCCTTCGTTCCCTCATCTGATAAATGGGGCTTATCCTTCCGGTTTCCCTACTTTACAGAGTTGCCAGAAGAACCCACTGTATGATGGGTGAGAAACTGTTAGGAAGCAGGAAGCATGGTGGGGGGTGGGAGGGCGGCGCACAAGGGCCTGCCATCGTTATGGCCACTCCTGCTGTCTTCTCTCTCACGGCTAAGTCCCTTGATCTGGACATCACTGACTGGGTGGGCCCTCTTACCCAGCCAGGCAGAGAGAGGCAGGTGTGGCACAGGGCTCCACCTCTTCGACCTTCACACTACCTTAGAAGTCAAGTCTATGTCTTACTTGGCATCCAATGTCCTTGTCACCTAGACCCTGCCTTCGTGTCTACTTCTCTCCACACACCATGCTTCCCCACCAAATCAGCCTGGGCTCCTCCTCAGAACAAACCGTGTTCCCTCCCTCCCTCCCTCTGTCTGTTCCCCCATTTATTCAATCATTTGCTAAGTCTATTATCAGCACTTGAGTCATAACCAGCAATACAGTTCCAGCCCCCGAGTACAGAGCTTATTGATGCCACACGTCTAGTCTCTTGCTCATGCAGTTCCCTAGTTCTGAAAGGTCCTTTTCCCTCTTTACCTATGGAGACCCCATTCAGGCCAGCTCCCTGGGGGTGCACCCCTGCTCTGCTATTCCAGGTCTTTCCTGCCTTGTAATCTGGTTGTTGACTCTTCTGAATTTTCCACCAGACTGTGCAGCCCTCCAGGATAGGGGTCTGTGTCTTTTCCATCACTTCATCCCCAGGGCCTGCCCACCATGTGGCATACAGTAGGTGCTTACTAAATACTTGTTGCCAGACAGACTGCAATAGAAGCCGTGAGAGGAAAGACTTGTAGGGAGGGAGTGATCAGGCATCAAGTGAATGAAAAATTCCCTTGAGTCTCCCCAGCAACTGTTATATTTCATCTAGTATGTCTGAACCTAGCTCAGTCCCCTTAACTTGGGACAGCAGCTCCCCCACTGTCCAAGCTCTGTCCTTGGCCATGTGTTTGTATGCTTCATGTCCTTGCATCCTATTTCACTCACTCAATTTATTGAATGCCATCAGTCATATCAATGCCTAGCCCTGTACTGACCCTGAGACAGGGGGATGACCTATAATGGTCCCCAAGGGGTATGGGGTTCAAGAGTGGAAATTCAGAGCTCACAGTTGTCCCTGCATGGTAGAGACCCAGAAGCAGGGCATGGAGGGCTCCCAAGCCCATGGTCACCGTCATGCTGCCCCCCTTACTCCTTCTCTCCAGGTCCCCACAGTGTCCCTCTGTGTTTGGCACACTCCATAGCTTCCCTGATGCTCATGGCTTCCCTATGTTCATGTCCACACAGTCCTTCAAGGCCCAAGTGGGGTGTCCCTACCCCACCCCTCCAGCTGTTCCCCCTGTCAGTCTGCAGTGTTCTGACATCTCCCTAGCACTGAAGGCTGGTGGGAATAGGATGGGAAGCACCTGCCAGGGGTCAGCAGGACTGGGCTCCAGTCTGGCTCCATCTGGAGCTCACCTTGGGACCTTGGCTCCCCTCCACAGTCCTATCTGCCTCCTCTACAAAAGAGCAGGTTGAGCTCCCCAATTGCAGTGGTTCCTTCTAATCCGACTGTCTGGTGCCCTGACCTGCAGTCCAGCTCAGCTGTGGCCACACCCTAGTACGACCCAGCAGTGAGGTCAGTGGGCCAGACAGCCTGGAACTCCTGCTGAGTGGACAGCTGGCAAGCGGTGAGGCCCTAGGCCCTTCCCAGCAGGATAATCGGGTGCTCCCTGTCCCTCCTACCCCCTCAGCCTCCACTCACCAAGTCTGCTGGAGGCTGCCAGCAGCTGAGATAATGTGGGTATAATTGGGGAACTTTCACCACACAAAGCCAGGAACAGGAAAAGCCAGTTGGGAGGGCTTGGGCCACAGGTGGAGGGTGGGGGGTGGGGTGTGGGCACCAGGAGCCATCCTGGGAATGGTGCCTGGGCACGGTAGGACCTGCAGCAGGACATGGTCCACCGCTGGACCATGCCTGCTGTGACCCCGTCTCCTCTCCACTGCAGGTGTGGGCACAGGCAGGGCTCAGAGCCTGGCGCACAGGCTGACATTCATCCACCGCATCTTCAGCAGTGACCTCACCCTTCAGGGCTGAGCGTGCCAGGAGGGGAGGTCGCTGACAGTGCCTGGGGTAGGGTGTGGGGCGAGGGTGCTGCAAAAGTCTCAGGCACTCCAAAGACTCCTTCTCACCCATCAGTGCTTCACCAGGCAGGGTCAGCCTCCCCCCAACATCTGTTTTGGGGTTCTCCAGAAGCATCCCACAATGGTGGGTAAGTGAAGAAAGTGCCTGTGTGCCTTCTCATTGGGTACAAAGTGGGTGCCCCCGGACCTTGCCCCTTTTGCCCCAGGGCGGGAAGATGCTGAGGAGCAGTCAGACTCATTGTGACTTTGGTCCCTCTGCCCATGGCTCATTGTCAGCAGGACAGACGTGAGGGAAGGTGGTCCTGAGGGTGGGCAAAGGAGAGCTCTTGGAATATGGGGCTTGGGATCATGGGGGGTGAGCATCCCAGATTTCTGGAACTGGGAGGTGCTGGGGAGATCAGAAAGATCTGAAGACTTTCCCTTAGGGCTGGGGTGCTGCAAAAGTCTCAGGCACCCCAGAGACTCCCTCTCACCCATCAGTGTCACCATCATCACCACCACTACCATCATACCTCATCCTCATCACCTCTGTCATCGTCATCACCATCTTCAACGTCATCATCATCATCCTCATCACCATTTTCATCCTCATTCTCACCCCTACCATCACCATCATTTTTCATCTATGCAGTAGTACACCTCCTTCCCTGGAACTTCATTCAACAAATATTTATCAAGCACCTACTCAGCACTAGGCACTGCACTGGGTATTCTCAGGACACCACTTCCAGGAAGCCCTTCCTGATTCTTATCCCTCAGTTGACATCACTGTTCATACCCAAGGCACACATAACTTTAGTCTGTCCTACTTTGTTTTCAGTTTCCTGGCTTGTGTATCTAGTGTGTATTCCCCCATCCCCCATAGAGACAAGTCCTTGTGTCTTTGGCTGAGGGGTTGGGTTCATATATCTGGGGAGATCAAAAGACAGTATCTTTCTTTTCCTTACCATAGAGGCAAGGACAAGGCTTGGTTTTGGGTTGAGTTGATCCTGTCTTGGCTGATGCTGACAGGGTCCAGGGCTTAGAGGGTAGCCTACTGACACTCTCTGGACCCCCAAGAACTGAGAACTGGTCCACTGATGTCTCTAGCTCTCCTTTTCCTCATGGGAAGCAGAGGTGATTCCAGATGTGGGAACCAAGACCACTAAAATGGCAGCATACTGGAGCTTGAGCTACTGTCTTATGGAAGAGAACAGGATCTGGGGCAGTTGGGCCCTTTGCTCAGGGACACAGAACAGTAGCACCCAAGCCAGTGGTGCTCTTCCTACCCTGCCATAAAAATAGACTTGATTCTCAATCTAGCTGTCCAGGGTCTCATTCTGGGTCATGTCCCCCCTGGAATGTCATCTCAGTGCCTCCATCGCTCTTTTTGAGAAGCGGTGTGAATGCCAGTCATGATACTGCCGCCACAGCACCTGCACTGGGTTAGCAGGTGGGTCTGAAATAGGGGCTTTGTGAACCCACGTAGGAGCACCTGCAAGAGGTACAGAGCAGGAAGGAGCCAGAGAGGTGGGGAACCTGTGCTCTTGGCAGAGGAGTTCATGTATCTGGGGAGATCAAAGGACGGCATCTCTTTCTTTCCCTGACCTCAGCACTGCCTATATCCTCCCTGATTACCCTAGAGCTCCAGGGTCTGGGGCCCAGAGGCTTGCGACCTGTGGTCAGGTGCCTCAGTTTCCCCACTAGAACTCAGGTTGGGCAGCTCAGACTGCCTTCATGGCTTCCCTGAAGTGCTGAGCCAACAAGGCAGGCGTGGGGCCGGCCCCCCGAGACGTCATGGACCTGCAAAAAAGCCCAAGCTCAGCAACAAAACACAAAGGCTCCTCAGTTGTGGCCGACAAACCTGCTCCCCAAGGCCCTGCCCGCCTGCCCTGCCCACCACGGAGCTAATCTGCAGGCTGAGGCCACCAGTTCCCACGCAGTGGGGTGTGGCCCAGAGTTGGGGGGGGCATTCTGCTCCCCATAGCCATTTCTTCCTGCTCTTTGAAACCTCAGACCCCTTTCTCCCTAGCCAAGCATACTGAGACTGGGCGGGGGGGGGGGGGGCAG